TGCTTTTATACTGTTTTCCACAAAATTTAAGGCCCAAGAATCACACAAGGAAGGGCATTGAGGAATGAGACTGAATCGGGGGTGTAACTGTAGGAATTTAAAAATGCAAATTATGAGATCCTGGATGATAGCTACAAGATTTAACCTAAAATTGGTTAAGTGTTCGGGGAGACATCTGCTCGGAGGTTTGCTCCCAAAGGTAATAATTCTTGAGAAGAATCTGAGCGAAACTTCCTCCTCACTAATGGAATACGAGGAGAATGAGTATGATTAGATCCTGTTGACCGGTAATGGCAGATCCTAGCTATAAAAGACTAAACTTGAGGAGTGTATCTGCTTTGAACATTTACTATGTAAGTGCGATATATTTGCGAGAGGTGTTTTCGTCTATGAGAAATGGGTTCAAGGCTAAAGGTCATTAATCACTCCCAAGGCATTGTAAATGCTTTTGAACTCTGTCTGATGTGGTTTTTGTAAACAGAGCTTGGCAGAAGGAACCCGCTGTTTATCCAGCTTCTTTCGACATGGATTCTAAAATATTAATAATAACTTTTGGGTTGAATTTTAGTAGGTATGCAAATACACATATGTTTGAAATATCAAAAATCAATATCATTAATTATGAGGATCGTCTACAAAATTCATAGTCTCATCATGGAATGAGACCAAACCAGATTTATTTTCAAACATGGCCTCTCTTGCCGTCCACAGACTTCTACAATAGTGTTGCAGTCCTTGCATACCATTGGTGAAGAAGCTTTCATCCCGTTGGTCCAAAAAGTCATGCAATAGAAATTCAAAAAATTAATAAGAATATTAATTTGAGTTCGGTTTTCATTTCAATGTCTATAATTTTGTGCATTATTAAATTATTCGAATTTTAAATAAGTATTTTAACGAATAAGTAAAAAATAAATAAATAGCAACTGACGTTTTAAAATCTTGTCTGTCGCATACTTAGAATGATTTCTGATATTGTAGAAGCGTTTTTGATTGAGTCTCGATTACCCGACAAGAAAAGTGAAAATTGCTTTGTAGATCAGCATCGAAGGTCATTTGCTGATGAAATTTCCTTTCTAGACTAGTGATCCACTGTTATCATTAATTCCTGTAAAGGTATCAAATATTAAACATTTAACAGTGACAAGTTCTCGAGAGACTCTTTATTATGGAATTGATCTGTCTATATTTCTTAGATGAGGTATTATGTACACTATTTACATTATTCGGACTATTGTCTTTATCTTTGTTGCCATATTTATCACAACGTTTCGGACCCAAGGACACATGGCACAGTTGATAAAGGCGTTAGTTAGATCCAGTGACAAGACCCAGAAGAGTGTGAGTTCAATACCTGGTTAAGGCGGTGGAGAACTTGGACAAGAGAATTAAAAGAAGATAACTGACATCCATTAGACATGTCACATGGAACTAGAACAGTCTACCACAGTGAGCGAAATAAAGGGTTCAGTTTGAAATTCCAACTACCTGAAGAAGGTCGGAGCGTACAACGCCCGAATCGTTGTGATAAATATGGGAACAAAGATAAGAATTATTGTCCGAATAATGTAAATACTGTGGAATAGATAATTTGATTTTGAATTATACAAATGGTTTGTTAAAATAATTGGTAATCTAGGAAGTATTTTGAACTACTATGGCACAGCCTTTTGTAACTGCATCAAAAAGTTGGCATAATTCTTATTATTGATGGTGTGGCTCTTTTTAATAGAGTCAATAAGAACAATACCTTTCGCATCCCAACGAACTGTGGCCACCATGTTTCTGCAGATGAAACAACTTGAGCTTTTTTTGAACAGGTAAGGAGGAGGCGTTTTCTCTTTGTCTCTAGCTTAAAGTGATCGGTACAATGCTCATTCCTTGTTAGGAAATGTCCAAGTAAAACCATCTGGATTCACCCCAAAAGATGCTTGATTTTTCCGTGATGTGGTTAGGCTGGAGCACCTTTTATTATGTGCTAGAAGGTTAGACCCCCCACCAATAGCATTCGCTATGTTATCCATCAACATGTAGTGAAAACGATCACTGTTTTCCTCGGCGGTAACAGTTGCAGAATGTCCAGACCTTGGGTCATTTTCAAAAATCTCCATTCCTCTGCTACTTCCAGCTGCCCAATTTTGCACAGTATACAAATCTGGAGCCATCATACCCTATTGTAGCAACCATGTCAGTATGAATGGCTTTGAGGATTAAACCCTTTTTGTGGAGGTTCTTCATAGCATCACAATGCCAAATTTCGTCCACTTTGAAGAGAAGTCTCTACTAGTTACTTTGAAATTTTCTTTCAACATTCAGATCTCAGTTTACCTGGAAATAAACAATACAGTTATTGATAAAAAGAGCTGAAATTAATGCATGCAGGATTTAACACCTCGTCTAGCATCACTCCTTCACGGCTACGTTCTGATGTAACAAACTAGCCGAATTACCCGCACTTTGCTGCATGCCACACATGGATTTGTAAGAAAATGATGATTTTAAATCATTGTATTAATTTGTGGAGAAAAATGATGCATTTCAGTATTACTCAATGATCTTGCCGATGGTACCTCCATCTTCTGGTTTTCTCCTTCTATAATTTGGACAGGAGTCATTCTCTTGTCCAAATTTAAATTTAATTTAAAACAAAGGGGAAAAAATCAGTGTGGGTGAGTTGTGCAGAAACAGCTTGATCTGACCCCTTTGATGTATATTTGATTGAACAAATTGATGAGCAGATTTCAACATTGATATGAGAGTTGAATATTCGAAATAGATATGTATTGTAAAGTATTACCCACTGATTGGTGATTTCTTGCTCAGGTTGATGTCCATATTGTCTCATTTTGACCATGCCTATGTGGCCGCCATCTTCTGGTTTTCTGCCTGTATATTTTGATAGAAGTCATTCGCTTGTTCAAATTTAAATTTCATTTATATCAAAGGGGAAAATTCAGTGGGCGTGTGTGCCGCCATGTTACCCGCTTTGATCAAAATGCAATAGACTTATCCAAGTGACCTGGGTAATTTAGTTTCAGAATATATACGGTTATGGGGTTTTATCTCCAAAACTCTAGGAGGAGTTCGTTAACAAACAAACAGACAGACAGCGGCTACAAATTTATATATAGAGGTTACTTCTAATTTAAACATAACGTAATGAAGGTATTCATGGAATTAGTTGCATAACTAATGTACACTACATTGCCCATGTACTGTATAAGTTGCTTCGGAGGAGGGTATTTTTCTTAAATTCTCCCCAAGCGAAGCGACAAAGACACTAAGGCCCACAAGTCTACTGTGATTGACGGACACTGAGAAAAGTTACTGTGAGAAAAGAACAATAAAATGAACAGTATTCCAGCAAACAGTTTTTTTTTTTACTATTTGACTACTACCAGGAGTAGAAAGCCCATTCTGCCCTACTAGTTTGAGGGGAAAAGGTTAAATAATACATATCCCAAGTGCATTTGACTAGACGCTTTCCCTGTTGAACTCGACACTCCAGGCCCACTGTCTCCGCTGGTATCTGCTATGCTGCGCACATACCCCAAAAGCATTGACTTACATGAGAAAATATAACACACTATAAAAGCAATCTGTGATAGCCAGTTGTTTCAAATTAGTGTCAAACAAAATGAATCAGAAAAAATATTGACAATAATGTAATAAATGTTACCATAATTGGTTGTTATTTGGCACGCCTTCAAATTATTGCCAACATGGTGATATTGTTATGGAGCCAGGTTTGGTTAATCTATTGACTGATTAATAATACTTCGTATAGACAAACATCAGTTCTTCGAATATCACTTGCTTATCTCGTCTGGTGTTCCGGCTCTGTACGAGATCTGAACAAAAAATATAAGGACTGATAATATAAAACGAGATATATCAATTCGGCACCTATACTTCTTCGATGTAGTCCCATTCTGAAGCCGCACACATTATCCAGCGAAGTTTTCCATTTTAGGAAGCATTACGGAAATTTCCTTTTTGGAGATAACGTGAAGACGTCGCATACTCTTGGATTTCTTCGACGTCTTGAACTCTTGATCCTTTCAAGTGGAATTGGATTTTTGAAGAGGAAAAGTCGAAAGGGACGAATTCTTGGGAATATGGTGTTTTTCGGGCCTGGGAAATGTTGCGCTTCGCCAAAAACTGCTTCGTGATTCATGGTCACTTATGGAACTTCTGTGGTGGGGTGAGACGAGCACAATCTAAATAATTTCCATCCAAGAACTGCTATAAATAACGGAGGTAGTCGAGAACTGTATAGTTTATTGCGGATGTGTGATGACATTCAAAGTCAACCTGTGCCAAACGGCTTCACATTGTATAGTTTAGCTACGCTATTCTTAAAACGGCCCTGATACTTTTGAATCAGACCTCCTATCTTGAGCTTCTCGACATAATCTAAAGAATGGTTTGTAAATTTATCGGTCCTGAGATGACATCTCAAACTCAATGAATTTCGCAGCGCCGTATAAAAACATTTCCTGGCGTTTGTTCTAATGAATTCTCCTCTTTGTTAATTATGCAACGCTTTGTCTATGAGAAAAGGGTTGTAGGTTGGGAAACAATTCATCACAAAGCCGCGTAGATGATTTTGGACGCTATCACAAGTGGAAAGTGACAACTGCGCAGCTTCAGTCCATACATGTCAACAGTACTCCATTTTAAGCCTAATCAATCTCTTGTAAAGGTAGAGGGTAACAGGTTGAATCAGGTTCTTATTACAGTGGTACAGAGAACCGGCCATTATATCTATCTATCTATCTATCTATCTATCTATCTATCTATCTATCTATCTATCTATCTATCTATCTATTTCATTCTGTTAACATCTCTTTATCTATCGCAGCCTGTTAACAATCCTGTCTGTACACACACACACACACACACACATATATATATATATATATATATATATATATATATATATATATGTAAAGAAAGAACATATCCAGTGAAATTTAAGTAAAAGAAATAAATAAAGGCCAAATCTAATACAAAATAAGAAAGAAAGAAGGAAACAAGAAATGAAAGAAAGAAAAAGACGGCAATAAAGGAAAAAAATCAAATAAAAAGAAAGAAAAAAAAAGAAGAAAGAACGCTTCCATTTCGGATAAGAAAGGAACATATGCAGTAAAAATGAAGTGAAAGAATGAAATAAAATGTATATCTAAGGCAAAGAACGAAAGAAAGAAAGGACAAATCCAATGCAAAGAAGGAAAAGGAAAAAGAAATTACACTTTCAATACGAAGAAAGAAGAAATATCAAATAACATTTAAGAAAAGGAAAGAAAAAACACGTCTAATACAAAGAAATAATCATTGAACACATCCAACTGGAAGAAATTAGAAAAAGAGAGAACGAAAGACAGAATTTATGTCAACAAAGGTTTCGATAATAGAACTGAAATTTTCGGTCAAACAGACGTTAATAATGCAACCTTAAGAGGTTTCGCATTCTCTCTCTCTCTCTCTCTCTCTCTCTCTCTATATATATATATATATATATATATATATATATATATATATATATATATATATGTGTGTGTGTGTGTGTGTGTGTGTGTGTGTGTGCGTGTGTTGTGTAACTGTTTAATGATGTTAGCTGTGTGCCGAGGCGGTACGGACATTTCTGCGGGGTAGTGAACGGGTAGAAATTACCTACACCAATTGCTTGGCCTAATGTTAGAAACTTGTCACTTGTCGACGCGAACCCTTACAAAATATGCTTTGCAAGTTTTCCTTTCTTATTCGAAAGAAAAGTTGAACACTGGACATCAAAGACGTCGACATTATTTTTGTCTTTTATCATTTTTTATGTCTTATTTTTCCTTTTAGTGGGAGAAAAATACCTTCGAAGCGAATGTTTAAATAGTGGGGGGCTATTATTTCGTTTTTTTTTTCTTTTTTCTTCTGATATCTTATTTTAATTCGTTTCACACGGTAATTGTGATGTTTTCTTTTCTCGTTTTCGGCTTTATTTCTTCTTCTTCTTCTTCTTCTTCTTCTTCTTCTTCTTCTTCTTCTTCTTCTCTCTCTCTCTCTCTCTCTCTCTCTCGTGTGTTTCTTTTCTTTTTCAATTCATCTGATAGGATATTCCATGTAGTTCTTTGTTTTTCATACTCTCCTACAACTAGGATACTAAGTTCTCTCCGTCACTACAATCTAGGATGTCCAAAGTTATTTGTATCAACTTTCGGGTCTATCTATCTATCTATCTATCTATCTATCTATCTATCTATCTATCTATCTATCTATCTATCTCTCACTCTCTCTCTCTTTCTATATATATATATATATATATATATGTGTGTGTGTGTGTGTGTGTATGTTGTAATTCTGCACCATGAATTCTGTGAAACATCATTTGTTAAATAATAAGGACTAGTTGTCTATCATTTCTTTCTAAAATAAAACTGAGAGCCAACATTATTTCACAGCATACACACACACAACTAACACGCACGCACACACACACACACACACACACACACACACACACACACATATATATATATATATATATATATATATATATATATATGTGTGTGTGTGTGTGTGTGCGTGCTTGTATACTATAAATTGTGTGGTACAGTTAGGGCTGGCGTAAAAGTGGATGCCAAGATTTTTAGCTTAAATATATGAGTTACCATACAGGTCGATCCCCAGACATACGGTACAATGCCGTTCTTTAAATATTCTATATTACAGGCCTGAGTGCCCGAGAAATCTTAATAAGGGAAAGATGCTCCTTTACAAAAAAGAAAATGTGCTCTCGGCTCAGTTTATATAAACAGTGCGCACTCGACAAATCTTAATGAAAAGCATGTTTTCTTTATCAACTTTTCTCTCTTACAATCTTTCATTGACTATCCAATATCCGTATTCTCTACTCCCGCTCTGTCTCTCTCCAACTCTCTCCCTTCTTTCTCAATATATCAATATATGCCTGTATTTCCTCTCTCTCTCTCTTTCTCTATACACTCTATGTCACTCTCCCCCCTCTCTCTCACCCTCTCATTCACAGTATATTAATTTTTGTCTCTTTCTTTCTCCCCGATTCTCTCTCTGCACTCTTTGTCCATCTCAGTAAATAAATATCTGACTCTTTCTTTTATATCTCTCTCTGCACTCTCCCTTCCCCCACCTCTGTCTACCCCTCTCTTTCTCAATATATCAATATATGCCTGTTTCTTTCCCCTCTCTATCTCTATCTCTCTCTCTGCATACTTTCTCTCTCTCTCTCTCTCTCTCTCTCTCATTGAACCATTATGTCCCTTTCTTTCCACTCTCTGTACACTCTCTCGATATATCAATATATGGCTCTTTCTTTCCTCTGCCTCTCTCTCTCTCTCTCTCTGCATTCTCTTTTTCTTTCTCTCTCAATATATCACTCTTTCTTTCTTCTCTCTCTTTGCTCTTTCTCTTCCCCCTCTCTCAATCTATGCCTCTTTCTTTCCTATCTCTTTTTCTGGTATAGCTTAATGCTTTCAATTCTGTTACTTTCTACCTTTCCATATCACTTGAACATCTATTTTTCGTTTTGCTTTTAATTATGATGAATTTAATAAACCAATTTCTGAAAGCTCTGAATGTGTTTTCATTTATTCTTTTGCGGGCCTCGATTAAATATTTTGAAAACTTTCAGTCATCTAAATCAAGATAAAACGTATAAGATAAAAAAAAATGTTTTCTTTTTCCGAAGACAGATAAAATCATTAAGATAAACTCAACCACAGATAAGAACGCCTTGCCGGAGAACACATATTAGAAGAAAAAAAAATAGTTTAACAGAATATTTCATGTATGTGCCGTATCCCCTCATACATAGAAGATCCTACTCACCTAACATTTATTATCCTTTGTTACACTAAACAATGCTACTCCGCTTGCAACCCTTTCTCTTTTATGTTCTTCCATCAATTTGCACAAGATTGTAAGTTATGTTACTTGATATGTCCGTCATGCCTTCGATATTCCTGTGAGTGTCTCCAGACCCTCTTTCCTTATTACGCTTCCTAGAAATTTCGACTGACACGTGTGATCCTAAAATAAAAGGTGTTTCATTAAAACGGATTATATATAAGGGTGTTTCATTAAGATGGATCAAAATCAGCAGTAAATAAATCAATGTTATTGGTGAAAATCCATTTATTTCTCTATTATATCATGTTGTTTAAGTCATGGTAAGTATGTGTGAGAAATAATATCACCCAAATGTGCGCGAAATCTGAAAGAAAAAGAACAAAATCCTTAGACTCTTAAACTTAATTCATATTTGAAATTAGTCATATTGGAACAGTCTTTATATTTATATATATATATATATATATATATATATATATATATATATATATAGTCTTTATATATATATATATATATATAGTTATTATATATATATATATATATATATATAGTCTTTATATATATATATATATATATATATATATATATATATTATTTATTTATTAAAAATTATAACATAAATATGTTAAAAAATCACTACAAAAATAGCCATTCTGTTTCAACATTTATTAATATCCTTGACAATAACATCAAGAATTTTTTGGAAAGAGTTTTCATATTTATGGAAGGTTAATCCCTTGATGACATCCAGTAGGTCATTTTCAAAACCAGACAATTCCTTAATAATTGGTGATGTCTTTAAACTTTTAAAACCATAATTTTCGTGTTCCCATAACTGTTTCTTGTCATGAAGAAAATAGTAAGCTTTCCATCTCATTCTTCTAATAAGAGTTTCAGTTTTCAGAGTTAAATGGACGAAATAATCCTTTTTGTTCCTGGTGGGAATGGTCTTAAGTGATAATCCGAAATTGATTCTATCCATATTATAAGAATAGAATAGACAGTGCTTGGCAGTAATATGGGCTAATATCCAAGTATCCTATAATTGTATATATATATATATATATATATATATATATATATATATATATATATAGAGAGAGAGAGAGAGAGAGAGAGAGAGAGAAAATGTGCATGTTATTTTATAACAGTCCTTTTGGTTTTCATTTTCATTACAATTTAATCGTTGCCCACAGTTATTGCTAACGATACCCCCAGCATCCTTCAGTAGAACCATAATAGAAGTTCAATATCCCAATTTACCCTTTACTTGTGGTTCTTTTTAAGATTAAACATAACTTACTGCATGGTAGGGAGTCAGACAGTAAAGGTGAAACGCTCAATACGAGTAAACTGTTAGCAGAACGAAATGTCATTTATTATGTTTTGTAATGCAACGGGCTAAAATGATGTTTGTAAAATAATTATAAGTTTTCTTACATTTTTGTGAGATCATATTCATCCCGCTCAACTACAGCAAATGTTAATTTAACGTATTAATGCTTGCCGAAGTTAAGCAACGTCGAGCCTTTTCAATACCAAGATGGGTGACCACAGGAGAATTCAGATGCCGACTTAGATCCATGAATTTTCTAAATGAGTTAAATCTTACACTCTTAAATTAAAAAAGGGCGTAATTTTCTTTAACCACAACATCTCAACGTCTGCATTTATAAATTAAGTAAATCAATTTCTAAAAGTTACATATATATATATATATATATATATATATATATATATATATATATATAAGTATATATATAATATTTATATATATATATATATATATATATATATATATATATATATATATATACTCATGAAAATTTATTCCGGTTGAAATCTCTGGGGAGGAAGTGCGGGTTTGTAAATGGTGACTATTACTGCTAATAATGCAAGACTCTTCGCTAAATCGAATCGAGTTCTCTCAGTCACTGTGTGTTTACCTAAAAATAATTCACTTTCATCCTGCGGTGCGCCAACAGCTTAGTGGCAGAATCCCCGACTGACGCCCATTCAATCGGGTTTCGATCCTAGCTTGGGGTACACTAATGAAACAGTCTGTCTGTGCATAACAACATATATATATATATATATATATATATATATATATATATATATATATATATATATATATACCTGGTCTATCAAAAATACTTTGAGGGTAGTTTCCTCGTGCCAAAACAAAGACAAGCCCACACATTAATTTTAAACTGATGTTGGTGTCTAGCCTGTATTGTTACATGGGAATACCGATCCGCCTACAAATGTTGCTTGTGTAAATTCGTTTTTTCCATCTCTTCCAAATGTTGCCTTATCCTTAAACAAGGCTGAAGAGACAAACAATGGATAGGCAGTTTGTGCAGGAACCATCGGCAAAAGTTCTCCCGTAGTGAGTGATCAGATGTTGAAAGACCCAGCGCATTTTGCAAATGACACAGAAGCTGCACTTGAAGTACCCTCCATGCGGTACTATCAGATGTACGACATGTGTAATAGTGTTCTTTGTAGTCAGGCGGATCTCAGCCTTTCCCAATCCATAGTTTGTGGTGCTATGGATCCTGTCTCTGGAACGCGCCAATAAACAGCAGCAAAGTTTGGATGACTCGGCTCCCTTCGGTCTGGAAACGTAATCTGATAGAGCTATGCAACTTCGCGTCCAATACTATTCGCGCAGCCGTATGTGAAAATCATATCTGCTTGCTCAGAATTTGAATAAATTACCATTGTTAAACGGGACACTTCTCTGTTAACTCACTACTAAACACGTTAAAGGTTGAAGATAGGCTACCGACAAATGTACACGAATGAAAAATGTAACTTGGTCTACATGGCAGTACAACGCCATCAACCGTAACTTTCTCTAAACATAATAATTCATAACGAAGGATTTTCGGACGTATGTTTATATAGGCTTTTGTCCTTGTTTGGTTTTGAGGAAACCACCCCAAAATTTGTAAAAGTATTTCTGATACACTATATACACTGTATATGGCACTAACGTTTATTCCGGGAGGCCGTAAAAAGAACGTCGCTGGAATTCAAATTGGCGCCCTTTTATTTAGAAATATATCTTTAACACATTATTTCCGTTCTTAAATAAAAAGCGTTATATACATCGTGACATATGTCTTATAGAGATGTTTTCGGTTACGGGATTTATGAAGGATGATAGTGTTATCAACCAGAATTTTCCTATGGTTTCTTATATATTGTAGATAGCAAAGTTATGGCACTTTGGCCAGATAAGTGACGCGTGAGGTGTCTGATCACGGGGGTAGTTATGAGATATATAGCTAAATTATTGTACAGGGCAGTTAATTTATATATTAGTCACACACACACACATACACATACACATACACACACACACACACACACACACACATATATATATATATATATATATATATATATATATATATATATATATATATATATATATATCACATATGTGACGTCATACATAATCTCCCAGCCATATAAATTGCAAACTGAAATCTGGAGAGCCAGTGTAAAAACCGGCTAGATTATCAGTGTGATAAATGGGGCATGATGGTGAGTGACAGATGGCTGGTAGATTTCTGAAATTGCGCGGACATTAGATATCTCTTTATCGAAGGTGTCACGTGTGTAGCGGAAATTGCCGCCAATCGTTGACAGTGCTGTTGGCCGATCACGGCTCCTTAATAATCGTCACCAGAGGTATCTTGGGAGAATTGCCAAGTATTGTTTCTGGTGAGAGAAGTATGGCACTGGCTCAAATCGCATCCACAATCCAACAATACATAGAGTACATAAGGCATATCCAGTAATTTAATCCAAAATTATTTCGATTCCATCTGAGAATGGACCAAAAAGCGTGTAATTCTTGACATCATAACTACAGACACTGCGAAGCATCAGCCTTTTTAACGGATAGAATCAAACCTAGACAGCCAACAAAAAAAGGTACCTTGATCGAACTTCGATGAACAATAAGATTATAATAAATATAGAGAGAAAGTCGAGTAAAATGATATTATTAAAATGCTAAAAATATTATTCAAATGGGAATAACAAATATAAGAAAATGTAAAAATTTAAATATCTTGGAGGGGATTTAGCAGTGGACGGAAAATGTGACAGGGAAATCCGAAGTCTAAGCAAAATATTAAGAAACAGAAAAATTTCTTTAGAAACAAAGGAACGCGTTTTGAACTGTTATGTAGTACATATTCTTCTATATGACTGTGAAGGCAGCACAACATTCGATCTACGAATTGGTGACACCAAAACCAAGCAAGTATGGAAATGTAAATATCTAGGAAGTGTTTTAATAGAGGATGAAACTGTGACACCGAAATCCAAACGTGCATTTGAATAGCGGAAGATGCCTTCCAAAAGCTAAGAAAAGTATTAAGAAACAGGAAATTTATGTTAGAAATAAAGAAAACTGTAAGGTAATATCGGTCCATCAGAGAATGCTCTTCACAGATGAATATTTTTAACTATGTTGAAATTGATATGCTTGAAAATATGCAGATAACCCAGTGTTGATAACAGATACAGAACTGAAACTATAGAAACATTTATACGACATTGTAAACGAAACCGTGATGAAAAAACAGAATGAATAC